CTTTAAGTGATTTTAAGTTATAATTTGTTGTTTAGCCTATTATTAGTCTATATGTTGAGATTAGATGATGATGGTGATGTTTAAATTAGGAAGTTGGGGGGTTTTGAGAGAAGGAAACTTAAGAACCAAGGATATTAAATCTCTGTTACACCCTTGTTGCTTGTTGAATTTGATGTCGACTTCATGTTGTTTAATTTCTTTAGAACAAGTTTGATGGTTTTCATGTAATAAAGAAGGTATATGTTGGTTGGTTTTGTTGAGAGAAGGTGAACTTCCATGGTGGAATTTCCCACTCTTACCCATCAAAATTGTATGCTTGCCTAGTATGCATGAATTGTTGATGATCATTATCCTAGATTCATTTTCTTGCTCAACTGGGGTGCGGGGGTTGTCGCCTAGTGAGAGAATGAATATGTGGGTGACTTTCTATAGAGATCATTTGGCCAAAGAACCCATAGAGAGTTCTTCTCGCTTAGCGAGTTATGATTGCCTGACAAGAGGACCCACAAGGAACTTAGGCCACTCAACGAGTTATGGTCACCTAACATGGTGTCCCACAATGGGTTAAGCTCACCTAACAAATAGAGCCACAATAATTTTTCTTGTTTGAGCGAGAAAAGCTCGCCCAACGAGAGGCCCTAAATGGCTTTGAGCGCCCAGTGAGGCTTTGCTCACCCAATGAGATTCCCCTATTTTGTTGATATGTCTCTTGAAGTTGGTTTTTAATGATATATTGACACTTTAAGTTGATCATTACATGTTGGAAGTGATATATGTTGATTCTTTTACATCATATAATGATGTATGATGATGTATAAAGATGTATATGTTGCTTTTAAGTTGAAAGGTGTATGTTGAATGATAATAAGTTGTGTTGTATGTGTGTATTGCATATTTTAAGTTGAAAGTTGCTTTTATTGATTTTAACCTACCAAGATATTCAATACTCATTCTTTAATCAATTTGATTTAACAAATTACAGTAGATTACAAGGAACAATACCAATATACCAGAATTTCAATGTTAGTGTAGTAAATCAGTCACTTGTAATCTAGGTTGATTTTATATTAACAAATTTTTAGTCAATTTCAATTACAAGAATAATATTTAGAGTATGAGTGGTAATTGAAATAACATATCTCATAAATTTTTGAATTATTTAACAAGATTAATAAAAAGATTATTAAAGAGATATAAGGTAAGAAGATAAAGAACACATAAATTTATATTAGTTTAGCCATCCACTTGGCCTACATCCAATTTTCTCTGATTTAACACCTCATTAAATCAGATCATTCATTATAATATTGTTTACAAATACTATGCATACACAGTATTACAAGAATGCTAAAACACATCAATCTTGACACTACAAGACTAGAAAACATACAAATTTTTGTACCCCATATGAATTACTTGAAAAATCCCACTCAAGATTTCAAGATCTCTTATTGAGACGCCCTATCTCAAGAGATACACCAAACAAAACGAAAATACAGATTAAAAGATTAAAAAGATATCACCTAATTTGTGTAGACATTGATCTTTCACAATTGAATTTACTTTTTGAATTTCTTCTTTTAAGAACACATGTTCACTTTTTGTATTTCAGAAAATATTTATTTGATTAGCCTTTGATTCTTGTTTTATGAAAGTATTCTTTTTCTCTAATGTTGTTTTTCAAAAAGGTTCTCTTTTAATTTCATAAAAGATAGATATTTAAAGTGCAAGACGTAATTCAGTTATAAAGAGTCATAACGTAAGTAACCTGTTATCTGATATGGTAATTGATTACGAGTTCTGAAAATTGAATTTAGAATACAAAGAGTCAGGGTAATCGATTACAGGACAAGGTAATCGATTATCCTGAGCTTCTCAGAACCCAAAAGTGTATTTCGCTCTATGGTAATTTATTATCTCCTATGGTAACCAATTATCTCGATGAAATGTTTGGTTTTTCAGCCTTGTTTTAAGCAAGAGACACTATTTTAATATATTACTAGCTCTGGTAATCTATTAACACAGAGGGTATTTGAATATCCTTTTCCAATAACAGACTTGGTAATCTATTATCCTGAATGGTAATTGATTAACAATGTTACCTTGAAAACTCTTGTTTGAATCAAGTCATATTTCTATGTTTAAACACTTGGTAGTAAATTACCTTTTCATGATAATCTATTACTTTATGTTTATACATGGAAATACTAAGTAATCAAATTATTGGTTTCTTATAAGCTTGATTAGTTCTTAAATTAAGCATTCATCATCATCATCATCATTATCATCATCATCAATTATAAACAAACACACACACATGCTCATATCTATTGCAATCAATACATTATCCTTTTTCATAGGCTTAAGCAACATTTATATAATACATCATCAAAACTAAAATATTCCTCAAGAGTCTTCAAGATGTCCCATCATCTCAGCAGATATAAGTTGTGTTACTTTATGAGCTCAATATTGAAACCCTTTAGTGTGGAAGTTTCCCTTTAGTGATAATTTGTTTCGAAAGTTTTCTACTTTAGGTTTTTTTAAGTTGAAATAGTATGGTGGATAGGTCGAGCCATACTTGTCATAAATGGCCATCAAGTAAGGCATGAAGCTAAAGTCCAAAATCACTAAATACTAGAAGGGTGCATAATATTTGGAGGGTAGGCATTAGGCTAATCCCATATAGGACTTAGTTAATGTATGCTAATATTGTGGTAGGCTCACACCTAAGTTACTATATTCTTGACAATTGTATTGGATCTTCTTAGTGTAAGTAGCAAAATTTAAGAAATCAAAATAAGGTCTTAAATAGGTCACCATGCCTGAAGTTGCCTATACTTGACCTAAAGATGACAGGTCAGATGTTGTGATTTAGTAGAATCAAGCCACTTAGATTACTCATTAACTTGTATGAGATCCCCAAAATTGAAAGCGTGTGACGACACATAAGATGTTTAAGTTGAAATGTTATAAGTTGATACAAGTATTAAGTTGTTTTCTGTTGTAAAAGTTGTTAAAGTTGATTTACTAAGTTTTTTTTATATGTTGATTAAGATGATTAAAGTTGTGAATAACATTACTATTTTGAGATATTTGTAAGTTGGTTCTTAGTATTTGAGTTGACGAAGTTGTTACTTCTTTTATGATATATTGTTTTCTTTCACAACCTTAACCTTATATTTTATTTTATTTTGCATGTGTTGAACTATAATGATCATATTTAATGAGAACTGGTCATGATTAGATAAAAGGATGAGCACTGTTGGATAGCTATACTATAAATGGATTATTTATGGAATTATTCTACTACAATCTTGTATAGAGACACTTTACCATTACTTATGATTTATATTTTTAATACTGATATTATATATATGAGATTACTATAATCCCGTAAGGGACATTTATGCTTTTAGTTGAAGTTGGTAGGATTTGTTTTTATGTTTTTCTATAATCTATATATAGATATATTTGTTGTACGAATATCAATATACTACTTATATGTTAATATGTTAGATGATGTTTATATTTTTCCATTACTTTGTAATTGAGCAATATAAAGTGACACAAACTATTTTAAATATGAGTTATCCACAAATTTTACTCCTTTTTACACTAAATTCAGAAGATATGACTTCATACATATTCCATTAACCCCTACTTATTATCTTATCGATGAGATGTGCAAATTAAGCATGCTTATCAGGAAATGCATATGTGGACAAACTTGTGAAGTATGGAGCTCATAATTTTTCTGCTTTAGTTTTACTGGATTCTTGTTATGATGTTTTGTTACCATGACTTATGTTTGATGTTGTAGGCACACCCTTTACTCATTTGTATTCGTCTTTATTTTCTCAATGATAAAATAAACCCTACTATTATGATCTACAAATTTAACGTTTACTTCTTATTTAAGGTTTAGTTCTTACTTATAAATATTTGATAAAATAACAATTTTTTTTTGTTTAGATATCTTTTTATTCCTATTGTTTCATGAGTTTTACCTTTTTAATTTATATAATTAAAAGCATTTCATTCCAATCCCTATTCATGTTATTTTTATTTTTTTTAGTTTCTATAATTTTGTAAATTTTATCCTTTTGTCCATATAATAATAGATATAATAAGGATTAAAAGAAAATAAAATAATATATAAGAATTAAAATAATTTTTTTAACTAAAACTTAAAGATAAAGTTCATAAAACTATATATTTTTTTCCAAAAAGAAAAGAGTAAAACTATATGCATAAACTTTAAAAAATGAAAGTAAAACTATCTGTATAAACTCTTTTTTCATGCTTATTTCTATTTCAGGTATATGGAACTTGCAACCGCAAAAAGTAAATGGTACTGTATAAATTATTTCAGATACATGACATGTTATCCTCAAATTTAACATTTCTTTCTTTCTTATTAAATATTAGATAAATATGATTATTATTGTCTATCGGAAAAATTATATGTAAAAATTAAGTATGACGTTAAAATTTGACAAGGGACCATTACTTCAAAAATCATATCTGATATATTTTTTAAAATACTATTATAAAACTAAATAAACTTATTTTATTGTTATCTAAAATATTGCATGTATATGTCTATACTTTTGATTTTTATATTTTTAACCGTTTATACTTTAACTCTTATAAGTCACTCATATTTCTCTTTAAATTTTATCTTTTCATTTATATACTCTCACTTTATCGTATTTTTAATAATAAAAATTAAAATAACAATAACTTATTTTCTCATTTATTACATGTAAATATGTAGTATTTTTTTCATTAATTCATGATAAAATATTCAATTCAATGTTTTTTATAATGTTTTGGGTCAACAAAGTTTAATATGAAATTAATAAAAAATGATTTTTTTTTTCTTTTTTGTTTTCTAGTTAAGTTTTTCCGTTAACTTTCTCTCCTTCTCATCTCTTTTTTGTCTCATCCTTGGAATCAGAAATCAGAAGTGGATTATATAAAGCAACCAATCTTAATGTTGGTTGCCAAGACCATCTACTTATTTCCCTCCTCTTTCTTCAAACTCTGCTTCCTTGTCACTGTTGCAAACACAGATTCTGTGCTGTTTGTGCTCTCTTAGTCACCTTCTTCTGTTGCACAGTTTGAAAGCAAAAAAACACAAAAGTATATATAAAAGAAATAAAGAAAAACCACTTTCCAGTGTTGTGTGAAAAGGTTGTTGCTCTGCTTTGTTGTGTGAAGAGTGTGTAGAATAAGAAGGCATAGAGAAGAAAATGAAGTACGTGTTGGTGACTGGAGGAGTTGTTAGTGGCCTTGGCAAAGGTGTTACAGCCAGTAGTATTGGTTTGCTTCTCAAAGCTTGTGGACTTAGAGTCACTGCCATCAAAATTGGTATCTTCCCTTCATTTTCATTCTTTTGTTTTTTGGAAAAGTTAACTAAACTCGATAAAGCATGCTTACTTTTTATCCAACAAACTTTCAACAGTCTATCCCAGTTTTCTTGTCAAGATGTTGCGTCTTCTTCTCTCAGTTTCCTCCTTCTTTTTTTTTTTTTGTTTTTTCTTATTAGATTTTGGAGATCCCTCTTAGACCAAAATTGTGATTATAATAGTATATATAAGTGAAAAATAATATTCTTTTTACAAATCAATTTTGTAAGGTTGAGTTATGTTTCAATTCACTTTTCTTATACAAGGCACCATGCTATTTTTCTAGAGCAATCACTCCCCAAATCATCATTTAAAGTTATGTACCAATATAAGACTATATAAAGAATTTTTTCAATATAGAAACTCTGAAAAACAAGTATAACTTATATTTGAATAGATTCTAATGAAGATTTTAAATTGGTCATGGATTAGTGGCAACCTTGATGTGGTGGGAAATTGTAGATAAATGCAGCTGCAACAGCAGTGGCTTTGCGGTTGCAGAAGCATTTGCATCTAAGAAGAGCTATTAGTTCTCTTTCTCTTTTTTTTTTTTTTTCCTTCCCCCTGAAGGGTTGTTGCATTCTAATTCTTGTCTCACTGGTTTCTTTGCCATCAGATCCTTACTTGAACACAGATGCGGGAACAATGTCCCCTTTTGAGCATGGAGAAGTGTTTGTGTTGGATGATGGTGGTGAGGTACACAACTTGCTTTGATTCCCTATTTCATTATTCATTTTGATGTTAAGGATGTTCGCAAGAAAAAGAAAGAAAAAAAGTAAAGTTATTTCATGGAAAGATGAGAGAAAAAGTATGGTACCAAGTGCCAACTTTATGCAATTTTCGCAGAGAAGGTTGGCAAATTTACCAAAACTAGTGTGTTACAAAATAATGAAACTTAACCCTCTGTGTTCAAACTTCAAAGGTGGACCTGGATCTTGGAAATTATGAGCGTTTTATGGACATCAAGTTGACCCGTGATAATAACATAACTACTGGGAAGATTTACCAGGCAAGTTCTTTAGACTATGACGCAGATTTTGAAGATCATTACAAAATTTTCACCAAACTTTAATTAATTTTCCTGTTTTCATGGCAGTCTGTCATTGATAAAGAAAGAAGAGGAGACTATTTGGGAAAAACTGTTCAGGTCTGGTTGACCAATTGTACTATGTTTTTTATTTTTATTTTTATTGTTATGATAATCTGTAAAAAAAAAGGTTTTCATGTTGGTCCGAATAATAATAATAATAATATTATGATGATGATGATGATGATGATGATGATGATGATGATGATGATGATGATGATGATGATGATGATGATGATGATGATGATGATGATGATGATGATGATGATGATGATGATGATGATGATGATGATGATGATGATGATGATGATGATGATGATGATGATGATGATGATGATGATGATGATGATGATGATGATGATGATGATGATGATGATGATGATGATGATGATGATGATGATGATGATGATGATGATGATGATGATGATGATGATGATGATGATGATGATGATGATGATGATGATGATGATGATGATGATGATGATGATGATGATGATGATGATGATGATGATGATGATGATGATGATGATGGGTGTTTTCATCTTTAGGTTGTCCCTCATATCACTGATGCTATTCAAGATTGGATTGAAAGGGTGGCCCACATACCGGTAGATGGAAAGACCGGTTCAGCTGATGTTTGTGTCATAGAATTGGGTGGAACCATAGGTACGCTGTTCAAAAACATTCTTCAGTCTTCTTCATGGTTTGATATGGATAATTGTTTCCATCTTTTACCTCAATTAATTAATTTATAAGAAAATTTATGGGTGCAGGAGATATTGAGTCCATGCCATTTATTCAGGCACTAGGACAATTTTCATACAGAGTGGGTGAGAATACTTGATTTGTTCATAAAGTGTGTTTTTGGTGAATATCTGAGTAATAAATAGATGATAGTTTTTTTTTTTTTTTTTTTGTGACGTAATGCTCATTTGCAGGTGCTGGCAACTTTTGCTTGGTTCATGTCAGCCTCGTTCCTGTTTTGAATGTTGTTGGTGAACAGGTAATGTCTCACACTCTTAGATCCGTGCAGAAAATGATTTAGTTTCATCTAACATGGGAACTTACTTTATTATTATGTTCAGAAAACAAAACCAACCCAACATAGTGTTCGTGGACTAAGAGGCCAAGGGCTCACTCCACATATCTTAGCATGCCGCAGCACAGTGGTTTTTCTCTCACTCTATCTTTCCTCTCTACTGTTAAACAAACGTGCAAACTGAATACATGGAAGCAGATTCTGTGCATACGAATTCATTTAGTGAAGAATTTAATTCGCTCGGACAACACATAAATCAAATTCTTTTATTTACTAAGATAAATTCTGAGCCATCCAATTTTCATCCAATGGTTCTGATTCGCTGACTGCTTTAATGCATGTAAATTTATGTAGTCAGAGAATCAGAACCCTTGGGTGAAGATCGGATGGTACACATGTGAGTGTTTTGATTTGCCAAGATAAAATCTAAGCCGTCCAATTTTTATCTGTTTACTGCTTGAATGCATGTGAAATCTGACTGTAGGGTAATTTGGATCAGAGAATACACACAAGGCACAAACACAAACTATGATGCACAATGCATACTTGTATTCATACTGTTCTTATATCTTACTTTAAGTTTTTTTAAGGTTATAACATTTTGTTGTTTCAGGTACTGGATGAGAATGCAAAGGAAAAGCTCTCTCAATTTTGCCTAATTCCAGTATGAGATTTTTAGGATAAATTTTTTGGATGAATATATATGATTTCAAATGATTGTGTTTACTTTGTAAGAGTTTTCTCAACTGAAGTTGCATGTTTCCAGGCAGAAAACATTATTACTCTTTATGATGTTCCCAACATCTGGCACATTCCTTTGCTTTTAAGAGTAAGTTTTCCTCTAAAGCTGCTGAGTGCTGAACTTCAGATCATCTCATGTAGGTACCATTTCTTACGAATTATCTTCTCCTGGTCTGTAGGATCAGAAGGCTCATGAAGCAATATTTAAAGTGCTGAACCTTAATGGGTTAGTCTCAAACTAACTCAAATATTTGTTCTATATTCTGGACTGGACATCAATAGATATAAAGAAATTTCTATCCTTTATGATTTTGTATTCTAGAAGGCTGAAGTGGTAGTTTTTTGTATATACAGTGTAAATCAAGAGCCTAAATTAGAAGAATGGACTTGCAGAGCTGAATCTAGTGATTTGCTTCATGAGCCAGTGGGTTGCTACTCCAATGCTAATCTATATTATTTATCCATGATTGTTGGCGATGGTTATATTTTTATTTCTTTTGATTGCAGGTTCGTATAGCCCTAGTGGGGAAATATACGTGCCTTTCAGATTCCTACCTTTCAGTTCTAAAGGTGGAGTTAACTTTAACTTCATGGCTATGTTACTATTCTTAGTTTCATGATCTTCTGAAGAGTTTATTTATTTATTTATTTATTTATTTTTTAAGCTTGCTAATTTACCATTAATCATTAACTTCAGGCCTTACTGCATGCTTCTGTTGATTGCCAAAAGAAACTTTTTGTGGACTGGATTCCTGCTAGCAACCTTGAAAATGCAACTGCAAAAGAGGTAACATGAATCATGAATCGTTGAAACACAGGCAAGTTTTATTTATTATTGTTCATAATAGCAATTTCATCTATATATTATTGCTCAATGTTGCAGAATCCCGATGCTTATAAGGCAGCATGGAAGTTGTTAAAGGTTGTTATGTTTATCAATTTCCCTCGCTTTTGTTTTGAGAACTTTCTCAGTTTATTATCTAACTAGTCTCTGGCTTCAGGGTGCAGATGGTATTCTAGTTCCTGGAGGATTTGGGGACAGAGGAGTGCAAGGAAAAATTATTGCAGCTAAATATGCTCGTGAAAACAGGATTCCTTTCCTTGGCATTTGTCTTGGAATGCAGGTTGCTGTCATAGAGTTTGCAAGATCTGTTCTTGGTGTGCAAGATGCTAACAGCACTGAATTTGAGCCACACACCAAAAGCCCATACATCATATTTATGCCTGAGGTGTCTACATTTGTTTTTTCTTATTCTAATGTTAAGAAAATAGATTATAAATGTGTCCTTTTTCTTATTTTTGATTTGTTTGGACTTTTTGTTATAGGGATCAAAAACACATATGGGAGGCACCATGCGCCTTGGATCTAGGAGGACATATTTCCAAACCAAGGAATGCAAATCTGCAAAATTGTAAGTAGTATTACACCATTCTATTTTTTGAAGACATATTTTGTGTTTACATGGGGCGATCTGAATGAGTAATGTGTGTGTAGCATGACTGCACTACAAATGAGTTGATATATTATTTGGCTTGAAAATAAATATATACTTTTAATGGGTTAGATTTATTAGGTTTCTAACCCTCTGACATTTCTTAGGTATGGCTGCAAAAGCTTCATTGATGAGAGACATCGGCATAGATATGAGGTATTGCATTGTGATGCATAAAATTATCTTGTAAATGTGAGTAGAATAAAAAATGATCTTGCCATATGCAGGTGAATCCGGAATTGGTATCTCGCCTTGAAAATGCTGGTCTTACTTTTGCTGGGAAGGATGAAACAGGTCAACGGATGGAGGTATGAACATTCTCATGACTTTTTGAATTATTATATGCATATGTTGTGCTAATAAGTGTTTGTTTTTTCATGCTACAGATTGTTGAGCTACCTAACCATCCCTATTTTATTGGTGTTCAATTCCATCCTGAATTCAAATCAAGACCAGCAAAACCTTCTCCTTTGTTCTTAGGTACTTCTTTGATACAAATCCAAATTATTCGTCCAATTTGACTTTAATTTATCTTTGCTGTATAAAATGTTCAAACTTCAATGTCCTTAGGTACTACATTTGTTGTATGCTTTCCAGTAGAACATTGGATTATAGCTAGATGCTATTTCTTTTCCAACAATAAGTTTCTATATTCGTTGTGTAGCCTAGAAAGGTGCCTATGAAGATCCGTTACACTTCCTAACATTTTAAATGCTGAAACATATCGCAAAGTTTACCAACCAATTATGAAGATCATTGGGATCAAGAAACAACTTCTAAATTCTACTGATTATTATTGAACAAGAATATGTTAATTGATTTATAGGCATGAATGCAACTCTTTTTTCAGGCTTATCCATATTGCATTTCCCTCTACATTTCTTCCACTTCAATTTCATTAGTCACATCATGGAACACACAAAAACCTTCTCTTTTGTCCATATAATGTTTTAGATTCATTTTTAAGTCATGGTGATGCAATTATGTAGGACATGGTATGGTACAATGACTATTTCTTTGAATTGTATTTCATGTATAAAAATTCTTTTGTGCCTTGTTGTATCCTATTTATATGATACTTGTTTCATACTATATGAACCACGTAGATCACAATTTTGACCCACCATTTTCATGGTATTCACAAAAACAAATAAAAAAAACTACAAAGTATAGAGGCTAAAGTAGCCATTATTATATATATGCTTTAGAAAGAAACACATATAAATCTAGGGTGGTTGACAATTCATACCAAAAAGTATGAAATTTGCATTCCTGAAGCCAAGTTTTTGGTTTTAGCAGTCCTTATTAATTAGTGTCACTTGTGTTTAGTTACGAGTAAGCAAGGAATCTTGGTAAAACATGAAACAATTTCAGATTTTGAAATCTAACTTCTGAATTCCTTGATGATCATGTCAAATGCAGGGTTCATTGGAGCAGCATGTGGACAATTGGATGCAGTTTTACAACGCTCTTCAAATGTTGATAATAGTCTCTCAAAAGGGGTAGGCAATGATATCTCAGCAGTCAAAACATACCGAACTAGAACCGCTACAAAGGCAGCATATAGGACTGTATATGGCAATTGCAACGGGTTGCATTTCTAAAAGTTAATGTTCTTCCTTCAAGTTAATTGGTTAAGTATGTGTTGAGGGCTTTCAGAGAGCTTTTCTGTACAGTCATCTGAACCTTGGTAGATATAGAGTTTTCAGAGGATATAGAGAAGAGCTTACTCCCGGTCTTTTTAATGGGGGACCAGCTCATTTTAGTTTATAATGGTTTGAGTGGGAAACTCTGAATATTGTCTTATGATTTAGGATATGGAAACTCTTGGTTTTGCAAAGATCTTAGCTGTCTATAGAAGAATTCTTGTAAGCTTCAACTATCTTCTTTTTATTTGTAATGTGAATTTTCATGTCAGTTTTTTTTGGAGGTGTTTAGTAAATATGGAATCTCAATTTCTAAAAAATGGCTAGACCAAAACTTTTACTTCCCAAGCTTCGGTTCTATTTGAACCAAACAAAATCATGTGTATCAATTTTAATGGTCTAAAATTAGAAACAATGTATTTTTAATTATTTAAAAATGATCTTCATTTATTTTCCATTCCGACATGTATTCAAATAAAAAAAAGTTTTTTTTTGAAAGAAATCTCAAATAGTCCCAACAAGACACTTGCAAAGTTTTGAAATAAAAGTTGCAGAGTGATTGTTTAGTTCTTCCATAGGAGTCTTGTACAAATTGTTGTCTATTGGATTAAAATATATTTATTTCCCAAGGTTTTTATTTATGACATAGTTCTTCCACACGAGTCTTGTACAAATTATTATGCTTATTGGCATAAAATATATTGATCCATCTATGTTAAGTTTGAATTCTCAAGGATTTTAGTTATGATAAACCTAAACCAAATTGTAAGTATTCTAAGTGGAAAACTAATAATGTAAAATCTTTGAGTTTGATGAAAAAAGAATAGGATTCTAAAAGATAAGAAACTATTAAGCAAGTTTAGAAGCTCAAGAAGACTGCATAATGTATTTGTTCTAGAAATTCATAAAAGACTTCAATAGTAAATGACACTAAATGACCAAAGTTATTGACAGGATAAGGTTTAAAAACATTTTTTTTTATAAAAATGCACAAATTACAATTCCATTTATATTATGTTAGAAGACGATCTTAGACACATCAGGTTTTAAGTTTTAATGATAATAAATATAGACATTTTTTTTGGAGAAAAGTTTTTTAGATCAATCAATAAGATAAATTGGTATAAGATGATTTTTATTCTAAAACTTGAAATTAAGAATTTGTCATGATGAAAACTATAATTAGGCAGCATTCAACAAATACTATTAGTCTTACGAGTTTTTTTTCCTCATAAAAGAGTTTGTTTTTCTCATTCTTTTCTCCTGATAGTTTACTCAAAAAGTACATGTTAGAAGAGTACTTCTCCCTATGGTCCTTCTTATGGTGAGAAGATGATGATGAGGAATTTTTTTGTGAGAAGTTTTCCTCAACAATAGATGCTTTACCTTAATGCACAATTGGACCAAATCATAAACATCCTTATATTGCAAGAGCTCAAATTTATCCTTAATCTCAAGACTCAAACCACTAAGAAATCTTGCTATGGTGGTTCTTCCTTGTAGACACCCAATTTCGTCCGGGGGCATACAAACGAAGAAATGGACGTCTATTATCAAGAAAAGGAGTTTCCAATCATGGAAATATCAAGACATGACATCAGGAGGCTAAAAGCCCAAAAAAAAAAGCTAGTTTTAGTAGCCCGGAACGGGCTGTTCCAAAACTGGAACGGGCCGTTCCAATTTACAAAAAGTGCCTAAATCCCTAAGATAAATTTGGCATTAAGATAAATTTGAAAGATACATGGAATATGCACAGTGAATACTCACAAGGAGAAGATGGAGGTGTCCTAGAACAGAGTCTAGGTACACTTAATCTAAGGGCTAACATATCATATCCGGTACAAGCAAGAGGGCCGAACTACACAAACTTCAGGTTCAAGAAGCAATACTGAATTCGACAGGGCTAAAGGCTAACAGTCCATGTCATTGATCAATGCGCATAGATTAATTTCTTGAAAGTAAAAATAAATTTGCATTTTAAGCACTAGCATAGAAGCATCATTGCATAACATGCATATGGCACAAGCGTACACAAAAGGGTATAAGTTCATTAAAAAAAAATCCAATTCATTCCTACTTTGCATTTTCTTTTGCATTCTTGCATTCTTTGTGTGTGTCTATCCATCACTTGTTGGAGGAATCAAGAGGCCAAAGCACTCGTAAAAAAGGATCAATAACTTGACAGTGCCTTAAAGCCAAGATTATGTCAAAAAGCATAGCCCCAACAAGGGCATTCCATATAAGTGGTTTCATATAGCCACCAAGAAACAAAAGACATGTCAACAACAAGACGGGATAGAACCGGACAAGGAAGAATAATCAAGTCCACAAGCATGAAGAGGCCATCACGCCTTACTCCTCAACCGAATGAAGGATGATCTAAGAGAATGCCAAGACCAGGATTGACTTCCTAACCAGAGCCAGGAGTGGCTTCCAAAGTAATACTCATCAATAAAGATTCAACAAACATCATCATGGGAATAGATCTCTCCACCAATGATGACAATAAAAAAGCAAAAACATCAGAAAAAGGCAAGCTTCACAAATATTGAAAAAGCCGAAGCATTTAGAAAAATAGCAAAAAAGGCAAGCTTCAAACATGAAAGAGCCGAAGCTAAACAAAAATGAATTTAAAAAAAAAT